CTAGTCATCATCACCCACCGCCAACTCTTGGGCTAACTCTTTACCAACGAATAGTGGGATTCACCGTGACATTATAACGCCTCCACGGCTGAAAGGTCGATCATGTTTCGTGGGACAGGGATCCGAACCTGCGGCCCGCAGATTGCTAGTCGAGCGCTCTAACCACCTGGCCAGACCAGGAGCCAATGAGCTGTTTGGTTTGGCTCCAACCTAAAGTTTCATTAATTTGTTGTATTGTAGTTGATGTAATAGCGTGCCTTAGCCACCAATACCAGTCTCCAGTTATTGGTCTTGTAAAAAAACGGAACACGTGAACATTTAAACCACCTGTTAAAGGTGGTGATAATTTAGGTTTTTGGTTGCTAGATTTTGTTTTACAGACACATTGTAACCGTTGTTGGTGTCTTGTTCCAGTTTCTTCTGATTTTTCGCAAGGCCAAGGCTGGAGACCTCAGTGCAGACAGTGGTCTGGACCAGTTGGCCAGATTAGCGGAGATTGACGTAGAGCAGGCTGGCGTTGGAGGAGCTAAAACCTTCTTTGAAGCGAAAGTAAGTTACACACAAGTATCAGATTCTTAAATGAAAGAGGATTTCTTATTTGTGAGAATATGATTAAAATTAACGGAATTATCTAGAAATTTAATTATACTCAAGTTTTTTTTATGTTATAAAGCTTAAATATAGGATTTTCGTATAGCAGTTTCCATTGTTACCCTACGTACTGATATATTTATTACCGTGAGTCAGCGGTAACTTATAACGCTTAAATCCGGGATTCGATTCCACGCACTGGACTGAGTGTAGGCGCTTATTAACGTTTAATGTGAAATTTTTGGTACATAATGATTATGTACTTTTGGTACATAATGATTATATACTTTTGGTACATAATGATTATATGCTCTTGGTACATAATGATTATATGCTCTTGGTACATAATGATTATATGCTCTTGGTACATAATGATTATATGCTCTTGGTACATAATGATTATATGCTCTTGGTACATAATGATTATATACTCAAAAATTTGTAGGTTTTGAAAATGAAAACTGTGGTAAAAAGTCAATGTGTAAAAATGTAAAGAAAACTGTGGTAAAAAAGTCAATGTGTAAAAATGTAAAGAAAACTGTGGTAAAAAAGTCAATGTGTAAAAATGTAAAGAAAACTGTGGTAAAAATGTCAATGTGTAAAAATGAAAAGAAAACTGTGGTAAAAAGTCAATGTGTAAAAATGTAAAGAAAACTGTGGTAAAAAGTCAATGTGTAAAAATGGAAAGAAAACTGTGGTAAAAAGTCAATGTGTAAAAATGAAAAAATTAAACGTATGCAGTTCAGTAATTATATTACTAACGTATAAAAAAGAGAATAATTAAAATTCATTGTTGTTTAGTTTGACTTTTTCTCTTAATCGAATAAATTTATTTCTCTCTATATATACATATTTGTATTTGTACCGAAAATGTTACATTTAAAAAACAAAACTGTCTAAACCTTGCCTAATGATAAAGTAGAAATTAACTGTTGTTTAACACATGTTAACTCCCTGACAAGATCGAGGAACAAAAGCGCTACAATAAATTTGAAGAAGAAATTCGCTCCGAACAAGAAGAACGACGACGAGAGGAAGAAGAACGAAAACAGCGTAAAGCAGCCTTTCAAGAAAAAGCCAACTTCTTTAGTCACTGCACGAGATAGTGCTTCCATCTAGGGAACAATTAGCATACTAACAACACTTATGCAACAATGTGTATATATATATACAAAAATGTCACAACGATTTATAAGATATAAACCTCACGAATAATTACTTCGTAAAAAGTTTTGAATTTTTCTAGAGGAATCAGTGGAATGTTGTTTAATAATTGTGTTTTCAACAGCGTGTACGGAACGAAACATTGTAAAAATAGGTTGAGTTTATAAATTTATTGCCTTTTATCAATTTTAAGGCTTATGAAAGAAAATATTTATTCTATAATAATTAAACATTACGTATGGTCAGTTTTATATATTTTCATGTAACTATATTATTTCAAACCTGTATTATTTGTGGAATATGTTTTAGTAAATATTTTATATTCGTCCTTACAGAATTGTATTGTACAAAAACGTGTGCGCCTTTTTTTACGATGTTGTGTGTGTATGTCTGTGTCTCGAAAGAGAGAATAAAAATACAGAGATACTTGATTTTATGCTCTACTCTCATGTGTTAAATGATTATCATTTTACACATTTTAATATTGTTACAAAGAAACTCGCTGTTTAGTGAAGGAGGGGTTGAGGGTTGAATAGTGTCGAATTCACAGGTAAAGATTTTGGAATCGTCATCGAAAATCAAAGTGTTCAGAAAATGAAAGCCGAAATAGCGTTACTCGAGTATTACTCATACTAAAGCATCTACAAACTTTGCTATTCATGTTTTAACATAAAAAATATGCACATGAACACCATACAATTATTTTACAAAGCAAAACACCTTATTCTCTCACAGGTAAAGTTTAAAACAAAACACCTTATTCTCTACAAGTAAAGTTTAAAACAAAACACCTTATTCTCTCACAGGCAAAGTTTAAAACAAAACACCTTATTCCCTACAAGTAAAGTTTAAAACAAAACACGTTATTCTCTGCAACTAAAGTTTAAACAAAACACCTTATTCTCTTCAAGTTAAGTTTAAAATAAAACACCTTATTCCCTACAAGTAAAGTTTAAAACAAAACACCTTATTCTCTACAACTAAAGTTTAAAACAAAACACCTTATTCTCTCACAAGTAAAGTTTTAAAACAAAACACCTTATTCTCTTCAAGTTAAGTTTAAAATAAAACACATTATTCTCTCACAAGTAAAGTTTAAAACAAAACACCTTATTCTCTACAACTAAAGTTTAAAACAAAACACCTTATTCTCTACAACTAAAGTTTAAAACAAAACACCTTATTCTATCACAAGTAAAGTTTAAAGCAAAACACCTTATTCTCTACAAGTAAAGTTTAAAACAAAACACGTCATTCTCTCACAACTAACGTATTCTATAATGCGCTCAAAAATGACTTATCAAAGACATGTTGATAAAATGCCAAACTTTAAATCTTTACCTTATTTGCTTTACATATTGTTGACTTCTTTTTCAGCAGGTCCATCTGGTACAAGAGTAGGTCACATAATTTGACGTACAATACGAGTGCTGACTGGTACGCTGTGATACCTTTTGTACCGTTGCTAAACATTCAAAGTTAATTTGGGCGAACATTTTCAGCATCGTATAATCAACACACTTTTGAAACTCGTATTTTATAAACAAGGTGTAACAAATGTATATATATATATATCAATTTCCATAATTTTTCGTAATAAAACGATACAGAGAGAAAAAAATTAATTTGCGACTTACATGTATTACAGAAAACGTACGGATAATAAGTTATTTCCAGCACAAACTTATGCCGACTTGTGCGCCATCTAGTGACAACTATTGCAATTCCTGTGTCATCCAAATTCCGGAAATCTTAATTATACGAAATTTTCCCAATTGTTATTACACTTGCAATTGCTGTCTTTAAATAAACACGTAGGCTTTACTACTTTTAAATATAGTTGACGTAAAAAAGATTGTAAACGATAAAAATATTTAAATAAAAATCAAACTAAGTAAACTTAACCTTGTTTTCAGCTTCAAATATGTTAATTTGGATTTAACGTAATGTATGCAAAAGTATTAAAACGGGAGAAACACGAACATATCAAAATTTGAAGTTATAATTATAAATCACAATAGTTTCCACGAGATGGCGCTAACTACATTGGTAGCTTTCATTTCAGCAATTATGTCATTTCTATTATACCAATTAATTTAAAGTACCGATATGTTGCATTGCCCGTAAGATGTCGCTTTAGTTTTAATATTGAAATATTCCGAGGTCAATTAATCTCAAAAGTAAATTAATAAACCTACAAGTATAGATAACAAATCTACTGAAAATAATCTAGTCTAAAAATTAAATATTAAGAATTAAAGGTAAATAATTAGTTTAGAAATCCAGCTGCAAAAATAATAACAGAAGTCTTTATACAAAATTAAGTTTGAGATGTCAGTCTTGGTTATGGGTTTTATCGGCAACTATAGGTAGAATACAGTATTTGTTACCTAGTACACAAGTTTAGGGATTGATTTTGTTTTTATTTACATATACAAAAAAGTTATCCATAAAATAAATGTAATAAAAAGCTTGATATGAATAATTAACAAACAACATTTATATGAACTCTATTTTCTCAGTCATACTCACAGAAAAAAAAATAGTAGCTATCTCGATGAAGGACAGACTTGTGACAATTGCAAATAGCATTCAACAATACTTTTCTGAGGTGAGATGCTTACACTTTAGACCGTAAGATGGCGAGAGCATCTCAGGAAAGCTACAATTGTCAAATCCTGTTTGAAGTTTCTGCTTGATTGAGTGACTCTTGTTAGCTACTTTGTATAATAAGTAAGACTGTCGTTCTTCCATTATTTGATGAATGTTAGACTTAAGAAATAGTCATGTCATCCTTGTTTACGGTTTCGATTTTCAACTGACTGGTGTGGAGGCGATTGAATCTGTTCTATAGGGTATTCAAGAAGTCTGGAGCCGTTGGGACACTATATTCTTAATTAACGTTATACATATTGTACATATTTTAGAAAATAAAATATCATGATGTCACAGTATACAAATAATTGATATGTGTATGGTTGTTAATAGCATGTAACTTGAATAATAAATTAATTAAGAATACATTTTCCCCTATGGGTCCAGATTTCTGGGTCACCCTGTACATGTAAAAAAGTTGAAACTTCTCTAGAGTAAGTTAATCGAGTTTACCTTCCTAATACACAACTTACTTTCGATAATAAAACGAGTTTCAACATATTACTAATTTGGCCAATATTAATCCTGCTATTACCGCTGCTTAGCTGTTGTTAAAAGTTCAAATTAAATTGCTTTACTTAATACTCTATCGAACTGTCATCTTTTACAAACAGGGACATATGATTTTTATGGAATTTAAATATTTTTTTCTTTTTGTAAAACTAAATCACCTTTTAAGATCATCCCCTCTCTTTCCTCTGTCAACCCCTATGTTTGGTTGGAATCGATTTATGCTTATCTAACAATGGGTAACACGAAAGTGCTTTTAACAATATTGGTATGTTTGGTGATAAATCACAACGCCCTCTGGTCAACACCTAGTCGTAATCATTGTTTTTAAAGAACCAAAAATATTTGCTAATAACAGTAGTAGATATTAATGGCACGAAAACAGTGAGCCACTTTGACGATGGTTCAACCAGTAATCAGTGACCGCTTTAGTTCAACAAAACCATATACGATACCTATAAATCATTAATGGAAGATTCCAAAACTGTTAACCAGTTTCCCGCATATAGCCTAAATAGATCATTTTACGAAAAATTATCTGTCCTCCAAAAATTCAAAGGACATTATTCCTTCCAATTATATTTCGAATTCAAGCGTATAATTCAAGATATAAAGTTGATATTAATTTCCACCAGAAACGTTTTATTATTTAAACAGTCCCTTGTTGGCGAGCATGACCCAATTTCAACAATCGAATGTCTTAAATTAGCCAAACATTATGACAATCTAAATACAAATACCAAGAGTCAAAATAGTAATTATTAGCAGAAAGTGTTGAAGTTTGACAGGATGCAGAGTTCTAGAGTGTTATTTCACTCAATTAGCATTCGTATCTAAACACATAAAATCTCTGAGAAAACCTTTCTAAATGTTATTTTAAAACTAAAGTCCATCACAGCAACGGTGATACCGTGATTACTTCAAAGGTCACGTGTTTTTTCAGTCATCAGTTTGTATTTGAATGTGACCCTTGAGGAAGGCGTAAGTCGAAATGTTGGATTTAAATAAAATCGATTTTTTTCTGGAGTGTATCATTCGTTTTTTTTGTGAACATGGTTTCACAATCCTCCAGTCTGCTAATACATTTTTATTTAGTCATCCCCGTTTATTCACTTGTTAAGTTGTTGACAGCAGAACGATTTATAACACACACCCTTCCTTCGAATGTGTGAATTAATCACCCAGGCTTTTGCACTTAAATTCTCAGAACTCAACAAAACATTTAATTTGTAAAGAAAAATTGAAAAAAAATTATACAGGAAATCTATTCGAAACTCAAATAAAAACGTCTTCAAATACGCTTATTGTACGTGCATTTTTATTAACATAAAACGACATTTTGTTGTTATAGCATTAAGTGAAAATTATGATTTAGAACGTTTTTGTTAAATTCTAACAGTACATACATAACTCGTTCTTAGTAGGCCTAACAATTATTTGTCTATCTGTGTTTCTAATCTTTATATTAATTCACAGTGGACTGAGAAATATCCGTTTTCCCAATACATAAGTCATTCTTAATAGGCCTAACAATTATTTGTCTATCTGTATTTCTAATCTTTATATCAATTCACAGTGGACTGACAAATATCCGTTTTCCCAATACATAATTCGTTCTTAATAGGCCTAACAATTTTTGTCTATCTGTATTTCTAATCTTTATATTAATTCACAATAGACCGACAAATATCAGTTTTCCCAATACATAAGTCGTTCTTAATAGGCCTAACAATTATTTGTCTATCTGTATTTTTAATCTTTATATCAATTCCACAGTGGACTGACAAATATCCGTTTTCTCAATACATAAGTCGTTCTTAGTAGGCCTAACAATTATTTGTCTATCTGTATTTTTAATCTTTATATCAATTCACAGTGGACTGACAAATATCCGTTTTCTCAATACATAAGTCGTTCTTAGTAGGCCTAACAATTATTTGTCTATCTGTTTCTAATCTTTATATTAATACACAGTGGACCGACAAATATCCGTTTTCCCAATACATAAGTCGTTCTTAGTAGGCCTGACAATTATTTGTCTATTTGTATTTTTAATCTTTATATCAATACACAGTGGACCGACAAATATCCGTTTTCCCAATACATAAGTCGTTCTTAGTAGGCCTAACAATTATTTGTCTATCTGTATTTCTAATCTTTATATTAATTCACAATAGACCGACAAATATCCGTTTTCCCAATACATAAGTCGTTCTTAGTAGGCCTGACAATTATTTGTCTATCTGTATTTTTAATCTTTATATCAATTCA